ATCTAGGCACGTCTTCAGCCCCGAGCTCTTCCATGCAGAGAGCACTGAGTCCCAGCTGCTGGGCTCTGCAGCCCGAGGCACCAAGGCTGCACAAGGCCCTGCACACCCCCTGGGGTCCTAGGTGCTCTCCTGAAACCACACTGACACACCTGTGCCCTGGGTCTCCACTTGGGGTATCCTTGTTATCGCCTCTTCAACGCCCACCAGCTTTGTGAAATATAGTAAGATAAACTGCTTATGAATCATTAAAACCTGAGCAATTACCCAGATTATCTTGCAAAGGTTTCCTATCAGAATTAAAAGAGGAACTATGGAAATCGGGAAATTCCTTGAAGCCTGTTTAAAATGACACACATTACTGCTGACATGGGATGTGCCCATTCAAGCTGTGTCTGGTGCTTTCCTGCTATGTTTTCTTCTGGACACATTAAAATAAAATAAATAAATAAATAAAAACATGTCTTTTTTTAAAGGAATAAGCTGAAGAGCCAAAAAAAAAGCTTACATGCAGACAGCCCAGTAACTTCATAATATCCACCTTCTGCACTGCAACTTGCATGAGCTGCATGAATGGGAAGGAGGATGGAACCTCTCCCTGAACACACTTTCCACCACAGCAGAGAAGAGGTGGGTTGATGGGTAGCTGAGACTGCTGTGAGCTATGTGGAACTTCCCCAGCTCTGTCACTTATGTGGCTTTGTGAATTTTCAGATGCTCCAAATCTCCAGAAGGCAGCTTCTCTCATCACCCCGTTTCCAGTTCACTTTACGAGTGCTCAGGGCTGTTTTATTGCTGTGCGCCACGTCCACATGCAGGTCAGACTGCTGAAGGTTTCACAACGCAGCACCGGCCCAGTGTTTGCTCACACAAACTGGTGTTGTTGCTTTGTTATACACAACCTTATAATTAAAAAGAAATGTCCAAAGTGCAAACACACCGCCCTTCCCCTTGTTCTAACTGTTAGGAAAGATCCTGTCCTTACTTGAGACCTTGAACCGGAGATCACTGAGCATTTAGCAACAAAGAGGAGGATCGAGCTGTCATTCAGTTACAAGTACAGGACATCAGAGTGCTGGATTTAGTTCTCAGCTGTGCAGCTCAAGTGCAGTTCTGGTGCCCCACAGCGCTGCAAAGGTGCTCCCTTAGAGTGGGTGCTTCCCACTGGAAGGCAGCCTGCCTGCACCTTGGTCCTATTTATCAAACTCATATGCATCAATAAATTGCCCACTGTCAAATCACGGAATGGCTGGGTTGGAAGGGGCCTTTCAGCCTCAGCCCCTGCCATGGGCTGGCTGCCCCCACCAGATTGGGCTGCAAACTGTTAGCTGCGGAATAACTTTCGGTACCCTCCAAAATGAATGTACATATAGCAATGGCAAAACAACATAAAAGCATTATCTTCTTTCCCCACACCTCACCCAAAATAACAGTGAGGTTTATAATTATAGAGTTATTAATATCTGGCTATAATCACATGCTTAGGAGAGTTTTGCAACAACACAGTACTAAAATAAACTATCGCTTTCTTAGAAAAAAAATGTATACAGGGAAACACAGGAAGCTTGAAAGTCCAGCTCTTTTCTTATCCCAAAATGTTTTCGATGCAACTCAGTGCAATCAGAAGTAAAGGCGTTTTTCCACTTTGGATCCTGTTTCTAAGAGTAATAAATATCCACATTAACAGCTAGCACACCTTTGGGGATCACTTCTTTGTTGTCTTTTGGAAAGGCTAACTTCTACAGAAGCAAGAAGCCCTGAAAATACAACATATTGACTCTGAATACTTTTGTAAATCCAGCCCTTAATAATTTAGATGACAAAGCTTCATTTTCAAGTGATATATGTTCATCTTAAGTCTTGATAAAAATCTGTACATTGCCAACTTCTCAATTACTTCTGAAAAAAACAAGACTGCACACAAATCACTTAAGCATTGCAACACTGAGTGGAGCAATATCTGCATACCTTTAGAAACACAAGTCGGGTTAAAACTTCAGAAGATCACAGAACTCAAAAGCCTAAATACTCTCTCCTAATGAGGCCTGGCTTTAGGTATTTGTTTCATTTTATTTCCTCTTTATAAATAGGAAGAAGGAAGAAGTTAAAATAAAAATAACCTTCAATATTCTCCAAAGATGGGTTTTCTGAATGAAGGACACTCCCATGTTTGATCTCCCCCTCTGAGATACAAGAACAAGGTTTTCCAAGTATGCTGAAGATCCACTGCTCAATATCTCCTGTCCTCACACAACTCTCAATCTGTTTTTTTTAAACCCCCCTTCTGCCTTCTTCCTTCCTCTTCCACCTTTAGCTGTTCTATCCTCCCCATAAACTTTCACTTGTTATCTAACTCCCTTTATTTTTTAACTATTGTTACATATTTGCGTAAAATCATTACTTTCCCATCACAGATGATGCTCTAAAAATATGCTGTAAGACAACCAGGTTTTGCATATGAACTTCCCACACTTACAAAGAAAGCATGGAATTTGCATGCATTGAATACAGTATTTTTTGTGCCCTAGAATGCTGAGTCACAAAATGTAACTCAATCTGGAGATACACACAAAATACAAACCAGGAAAGTCTGGTATACATTGTGTAATAAGGAATTACTGCTTTTACTTCCTCAACTTTATGCAGGACACCTGAGCTGACAATTGAGTTGGACAAAGGAAAATGTTTGCCTATTTTCTTAAATAACAGATATCCATGAAGACCACACTGTCCTTTCACATAGATGCTACAAATTAAGGAAGATAGTTCCGCATGTAAGTCTTGAAATAACTTTATCCATTATTTCAATATTTAACCCCAATAACAATTTAACAAGGTGCATTAACTCACAGCTATTTATTTATCTGACAGTATTTTTGGTGCAGTCAGATCTACCTGTCCCTGCGGTGACTTTGCGAGTGCCTGCTTTCATTCTCTCAGCTTTCATAAAACAGGGAAGGGAAAAGATAAAGAGAGCAGAAAACACACAGTATTTAGCAGGACTTTTGGAAAACGCTGACTTCTGAGTCTTCTAATGTCAACTGTTATTAAAAACACATTGTTTTTGCCTGCTGCCCTGACTGTTCCAATTTTATCCTTGCAATTTAAATTCATATGAAAAGAAAAAGAAGAAAGTTTCTTGCATTAACAGTGCTCCTGTAACAACATTCCTCAATTAGAATTCAGCACTGCTATAATTACTTATACTTCTAAAGCTGAGTTTTCCTCACTATGGTGTCAAAAGAGATCTTTTAAATGAACGATGGGAATGCCTCAGACTGCTTCCACAGAGGTGCAGAGCAGAGCAAACATTCCATCCAGGAGAGGGCACTGACACAGAGAGGAATGAATTCATGTATTGTTTTAAATGCTATTAAATACAGGCATCAATGACCCTGAAGCCTGTCATTACAGTGGTCTTCACAGAGCTACGGATAAATTGAACATGAGTTTCACATCTATTGGCTGCTAACTCATATAAAGGATGTGACTGTGTGGGGTGGAAACCACAAAACTGATAAGAGATCTTTTCAAGGAAGCACACACTACATTTTTAGTAACGTAAGAAGTTCAACTTTATGACAAGTGTAGGAACTATCTTTAAGCATGTATCTAGTTTCCTGCCATGAGATTGTTATGAAAAATGGCTGATAAGAACAGACTCACTTGTTCCAAGATTTTGGTTGGGATAGGAATGGTAATATTTAATCTGGAAAGTCATTCAAGCAGCAACACACGAGAGCACATTACAGCCAGAAGTCCAGCCAGCAGCGAGCTGTCCTGCTGCCTTCCAGCACTCAGCAGGCAGTGCTGCTCCCATTTCCCATTTCCCATCTTAGCTCTTACTTCTCCACTGACACAGCCCATGCTCATGTAGTTCTGTGCTTCCCATGGCTTGGCCCTGACAATACACAACTGAACTTTTGCACTGGTTTTCTCCCAGTTCAGCAAGGTCAGGACTAGCTGTGCTTCTGACCTGCTATGGTGGGTGCAGGGAGAAGACTGGGAGGCTGAGGGAAGAAGGGAGCACAGTGGCATCGATGTGTTGTTGAGTGGCACAGGTCATCTGGATGACCACAGATTAGTGGATCCTTACCTGGAGCCTACAGGTAAGAGTCTCTGAACAAGAGTCTCATACTTTAGAGTCTCTGAGCAAACATCACTGACAGACACTGCTTTAGGACTTGTGCATCCAAAATTGCCAATTCATCTCTCTACCCACTTTCATGGGAAAACATTACTCTGTTTATAGAATAGTATAGAAAAATTGTATTGGAAAGGAGAAAGATAGTAACACAATGTTACTTTTGTAGGATACAGTTCTGACTGCCAATTAGTTATGAAAAACCAGACAAATACAAGCATTTTGATGAAACGCTTCCAAGAGGCAGTTCCCTCAGAACACCATCACAGTGACATTGCACCCATTAGTTAAGGTAGGACCCTGTGCTCTGCTGCAACTTATTCATGAAATCACTCTCCAAGTCACTGCCTGCTTTTGATAAGCTGGCTGCCTTTCATATTTCATTCAAACAAGTTTCTTCATAAATTTGCTCTATTCATACCTAACATTACTTAAACAAATTTAAGCTACTTCTAATGCAGTGTGTGTTTTCAGAATAACTTGTTACAGAATACATGGCACAAGACAGTATACAAGAAATTATATATAGAAGATTCATAGCTACTTACCACAATGTGTTGATAAGGATCTATGAAGGACATTTCTGTCTCAATTTTTATTCAAGACAACTGCCAAATGTCTTGTGCAATTCCACACCAAAGAGGCTTCTCAGTTACTCAAAGCAGAATTCAGTATGACCTGTAACTATTAAATAATAAAAAAATTAAAGTCAAATATTAAAATCCCTATGTTCCTTTTAAATTGTATGTTGTAACGGAACAAATGAGTTCCTTCATTTTAAAAAAGGTTCCCACAGTTCATTTGTTAAGCAGAATCTTAATTTCATACATGCTGAGAAGGTATATCTACTTGCCTGAACTAGAGAAATCTCTTGCACTTATTTGTTCTACTTCAGCGTAAGAGCACAAAAAAAGTATCTTGAATTCCAGACATCCAAGTGCTTCTGTCAGATCTACGGATAAACAAAAGAATAAAACAACTGTTTAAGCTCCATGCACTACAATGCACGTAAAGAAGAAAAAAATCACTGCTTCATTAATTGCCTTTTTATTGTAATGATCCATTCTTGGTCCCTGTAGTTTACCTGCACACAGTCAGGGCACAGAGATAAAGCTCCTCTTTGTGCTCCCTCCCCTCCCACAGTGATGCACAAGGCTATGTCCTGCGCTCACACCAAGCTGTGAAATTCAGACTGAAAGGTTCAGGCATGGCAGGCAGCATCCTGCCTCACACCACTCTGCTCAGCCTCCTCAATGCAGATCTGGGTGCTAATAGCCCAGGTGGCTTATCAAGCTGCTTTCATTAAGTGATAAACCAGCAGCAACACTGCCCTCTGTACAGCTGCAGAGGCAGTTCCAGCAGAGCAGTGGCTCGGCCCTGAGCAGTCAGCAGCTGGCAGAGATCCACAGGCGGGCAGGCTGGGAACGAGGAGAAGAACAAAGCACCACATGGGAGGATTGGTCTCAAGGAAAAGCTGCCTTATCTTCCATTTGTAAAGGACAGCATAAGTCCTGAAGAACAATGACTTATGTCGTTCCCAGGAAAGTCACTCTCAAGCAACTATGTGCATGCTTTTCCATAAAACGTTTAGTAATTAGAATATATCACATCCATTCTTTGATCTTTTTGGCTCCAACAGGAGCGGGAGGCTAGAAATTACCCTGACTTTATTAACTTAATTTACTAATTGCAGTCTAAGAAAGTCTGAACAAAAACTTCATGGTGCCTTCAACTCACAGTTTTGATTCAAAGCATCTCAGCGTCAGGGTCAGGAACAAGTCACCTTCGTTACAGAGAGCAAAACAGCTCCTCAGACTTACAGGAAGCTCCCTAACACAAAAATGCCCTACTGTAACATTATTTTACCCCACTGTGATCACAACTGCAAGGACTAATTTTCATTAAAATTATTTCAGCCAAGTTCAGCAATGCTATAAACAGGCAGATGGGAGAGAAGCGTTTGCAAAAATATCATACAGTTGATTTGCAACAGTCAAGTTTATTCTGGCTGATGTCCTAGTTAGAGCAGGACACTGGAATCTTGATAAACAAGCCCTTCTGTATGGACTGCACAAGAAAGAGGAAAAGGGAACAGTGAGGAATACCCAGTCACTGTGATGCTGAAAAATCTGTAAGTCAATAAAACAGAAAATGTGCCTTTTCCCTAAGTGTCAGCTAAAGTTCCAGCAGGTTACCACGCTCGTTTTGGGAAGATCCACCAAGCAGTGGAGGCGGCTGCTGCCTGCAGGAGGGGAGGGCTGGACAGGCCAAGTTGAAAGGCTTGTCCTGGAGGCAGGGATCCAGCTCCCCAGATCATTACTCTGCTGTTCATCTGCCTTAGACATGAGATCATCCTCACTGCTCCTACAACCCCCTGCCTCATTTATTTCAACATCTGCAGGAAACATGTTTGGGATCCTACAAACAACAGCCTCTTTGAGTACTGTGCAACAATGACTTCCCAAGTGTCATCTGTCCTCCATGTTGAATGAAGCAAGGATCATGCAAACAGACAAATATGCAATCACGTAATTAGCAGCTCTATCAAAAACACAGACACACAAGACATGAGTTCAGGAAAAAAAAAATGGATCATTAAAAGAGAGAAAACAACAGCCGTGAGCAAGCAGAGCCTGATGAGATACACAAAGTGGAAAAACGAACACAGCATCTTGATCAGACTACCATTTAGCATGGCCACATGAAACAGACAGCTTTCTGTTCAGCTCCTGAATCTCACTTGCACTCAAGTTGCTCTATTTTGTCAGCACAAGAGTAATCGTTAGGCACAGTTTCAGACATCGACAGTAACAAGCTATTACAGGGCAGGTGTTCTCCGGTTTAAAACAAGACTTTTTTGATCTTAGCCCATTTTCACATGAGGTAACAAACTGAAAAGGATAAGGAAAGCAACTATAATGACCAACAATAAACAGTGCCCTTCCCCAAAAAGAAGCTGACGCACACACAGATTATTACTGGAAGTGCTCTACTTCCCAGCGTTGATCCAGTAACACCACTTACCGCTACCTCACAGTTGTGCAGGATGAAACACATGAATAATGTGGTTATCCTGCTCCATGCTGAGCATGAGGTTAGTGCACAGACAGAACTCCGAAGATGAGTAAATGACAACACAGCATAAATACTACCACCACATAAGTCCTCGAGATTTTAAGATGATCACAAAGGGACGCTGTTTATATCAAGTTGGCCAATTCTCTTTAAAATCAAAGACACAAGTAAAAGATAGTGAATAAGTATGACTCACTAATACAGTCATTGATGCTCATTAATGATACGATAAAGGTACAGAGAAATTTCAATATTGTCTCAGGGTTTTGGTATGAATGTCACCATCCACTTTTATCAGATCAGACAGCAGAATTTTATTTGGTTACAGATTGATCTTGTGATTGTACAGTAGAAATAAATAATCTGTTTCTACATGATTTAGTCAAGCATCCTGGAAAATCACTGAAACGTTATTTCTTAATTTAGGTCTTCCCACACAAGAAAGGATTACCGTTTACTCTCTGCAGGGTACTCATCACTCGGTTTTCATCACAAGTAAAAAATTATATGCTTCAACATTTAACGAGCATTCTTCCCATGCCTTGCTGAGAGCATGGGTGGAAGGAAGGATCCTGACAGAAAAGCAAAAAGCTTGACCTCTGTGCCACATTTCTGGAGTATGCCATGGGGCAAAGTTTGGTAAGGAAGTTGACTGAAGAGGAGATTTTAAGATTGGGAAACCACATCTGACTTCCTGCTAGAGAGGACAGAGATGAAAGGATTTTGAATGTCTTTTTGAAAGATGACCTGGTGGCCTGTAAGCAATTACTAATGCTACAGGTAGCACCGAGAGCACCAGTGGAAGAGAGATGCCAAGCACACCAGAAGGGCTAAAACTCCTGAAACATCTCCAAAGACTTTAGCGAGGTAAATTTACACCTTATCTAGTGCTGGAGGCCACTTGAGAAGACAAGAGTGAGGATGGATGAACTGCTGTCAGGCTAGTTTTCTAGGTACAAGCTGCCCAGCATCTCCTGGAAGTCTCCAAGCTACAGGAACCTCCTGTAACAGGAGACAGGAACGGTGAGTCAGGGGGAAGTAGACACGCTCCCGTAACCAACTTAATTGGGCTGGGCTTAACCCAGCAGAAAAACTCGCTATGTTCAGCAAGCAAATACCTAGCCAACAAATACTCACTAGGCTGGAAACACTTCTGCCTGAATACCTGACACACATCACACAGCAGTCATAGGAGTTCCCAGTACATTTCCTTTCTAGCCAAATATTGCATTTTCTCCATGGTCACTAACTACAGGCCTGAGAGGAAGAGGTGACTGATTCAGTGCATTCTGGTTTATCCTACAATTATACCACTTACGCAAGGAAGGGTTAACAAGAAACACTCACTGCAACGGTTCACAAGAGGTTACGAAAAGAGCCATGTCATCATATGTGATTTTACTACACATCCAACTTACAGAGAAGTCAGAAAAAGGAACAGAACTGGATCTTCCTAGAACTTTAGGAATGAATTCAGGCTGAGAGTGAAAGATTGTCTTAACACATTTATGCAACTTTTCTCCAGCACTTTATATTTTAGTTCCAGTGAAACTGTACTACAAATAACAAACAAAAAACAGAACTCAGCCCTGAATATTACTAGATTCAGCTGATGGAAGCCAAGGAAAGAGGTAGAGATCACTGTCTTTTCTTGCAGATAGCCAAGCCACAAATTGCTTAAATCATTTCAGGGGGATCAGCTATGCAGACTATTTGTTATGAGTACATTTCAGTTCAAAAGCAGTGAGATTTAAAATGCCCAATGTTTTTGTACTTCAGGATTTGGGGATTTAGTTACCCTACAAATAAGCTTTTCACATATGTAACAGTTGTTCGTTTAGACATGTTCTCACTTTCAGAAGCCCAGCTTATGGCAATAAAGAACACGCGTTTCCACTTCAGTTTCCACATAAGGGTGCCCCAACTACACAGTATGTTTGAGATATGAAGGCAGGCTATCAGAAACAGAAAATTTAATATCAGTCACAGCTTTGAAAGTGTTGCCAGAAATGCAAACTCTTAAAAAGTAACTTCTAAAATTAATTGATATTTTTGAATTTTTTTTTAATTAATTAGAATAATGAATTACAATGAGGAGTTTGGTTCTTACATATCTATAATCTTTCTACACCTTCTTTCTCTTCCCCGCTGTAAAATAGGCATGGTTCAATACAAAAAGTTTAATTTTAAAACACTATTCTTATGTTCTCCATAAGTTTTTACATTTTGCCTCTGGGGAAGAGGTAATCTGTTGCACTGCAGGCAAAGCGCTCCAATGCTCTCAGGTTTCAATTGCCAAGGAAAGTGCCTCTGCACTACAGATATGCAGCGGTTACACACAAAAGAGCAACCGCAATAATAGCTAAAAATGCAAAGAGCCAGTGAAATTAACAGCTGGCTTCTGTCATGGTCAAAGATGTCAGCAGCAAAACAAATATAGCTGAAAGTCAGGCAAACACTTCAACTTCTTTTTGTGTCCAGAGTAAGTCTCCCAAACTGTCGGGTTTTTTTTCCCCCCACTGATTTCCTAGCATTGGAGCGTAACAAATTGCAGTGCAGCCCACAAGGCAGCCTGGTGCCCCGCTGGCACGGCGCGACTGGAGCGGAGGCAAGGTGCACTTCGTCAGCATCACTCAGCACGGCTGCACATGACTCAACATTACAAGTGTCGCGCTCTGGCTTTGGACCATTTATTGAAAACACAAGCTCTGGCCACTGTCCGCAATAAAGGGGACAATTGTGTGGCATTTCCTCTGGTCTGCATGGTCATCACGTTCAAAGCATGACAAAGTAGTTAGGGTGCATGATGGGTGTGCCCTCACGGAAATTGGTCAGGACTTTCTAGTAAAAGTACTTATGAATAAACTTCTGACGATGAGATTTCTCAGCAGCTTTTAAACTATGTGAGTAAAATTTATATGGAAATGTTTTATGATTTCTGCCAAGCTGGAGTCTGAATATTTAACAGAAATGTAGATCTCACACATGAACAGACAGAGGCATCCCTGCTGCACACTGTACTCTTAAAGAATCAGACAGGGCAGTGGGTGAATTTGTACTGTGAAAGATTCTTGGCTTGCAGTAGTTTTATCAGCAAACAACTGAAACAGAAAATGTACCAACATGCATGTTATTGATCTGCATCATGCGCATGGCTGTCACACAAAACCAAACAACACGAGTCAAAGCGTGCCTGACCCCTTGCAGCTCAAAGTCTGGGCAGTTACAAAGGAGCTCCCAACTTACCAGCTGGTCTGAAGCCAGAGTTTCATCAGCAATGCAGAATCACGACATCACTCATCCTGGAAAAGACCACAAAGATCATCCAGTCCAACCATCAACCCACCACCACCATGCCCACTAAACCCCATCCTTACGTGCCACATCTCCACGTTTCTCAAGCTTCCAAGGTGAGCAACACTGCCACCTCTCTGGGCAGTTTGTTCCAGTGAATTGCCACTTCTTTTCAGAATAAACTTTCCTTAGTATTCCACTGAATACTAAGTATCCCCTGGCAGAACTTGAACCCATTACCTCTCATCCTAACACAGTTATGTGGGAGAAGAGGCTGAACCCCACCTGAAGAAAACCTCCTTTCAGGGAGTTATAGAGAGTGATAAGGTGTCCCCCAAGCCTCCTCTTAACCAAAGAAATTATTTACCCCAAGGTTTTGCTTTTCCGTGCACACTGAAAGGAGCCTGCCCCACACTTGTCCACTCAGCTGAGAAGCCACACACACATCTTCCTCCTGGACAACTACGCAAGGAAGTGGTACGTCCTTCCGCTCTTCCTCAGCTTCCTCTTTCTGCTCCATGCCTTTCAGAGCTCTGAGGCTCCTTCTGTTCCCTGGTCACTTACCACTTTCTCTCCCAGCTACCTCCCAGGGCTCTAGCAGTTGCAGAACTGCTTGCATTATTTGCTTCACCACTTCCACCAAGCTCAGAGGAACAACACTAAGAATGCTGATTTAAGAAAGCTTTGAACTGGGTCATGCCTGCTTCACTTTTAGACAACCGTCTCAAGTGCTACCATTAACAGTGCAGCCAAATCTTGAGAGGCTGAGAAGGAACCACCCTGAATGTGTGCACACCACCATCAACCAGGGCTTTGCATACAGATTAGAACTAAAAATAGTATTTTGATTTCATATGGATACTGGAAAGTTTCCTATTTATCATAAGCCATCATGAGATATGCCAGGCCTCACTGCAATTTGATTCTACCACTACTAAGAGGTTAGCAATGCCAGAGGTTTCAAAACAGAAATACAGAACTAACTGCTAGGTACCCAGACCTGAAACAGGGCTGGCCTACAGGAATGCGGTACTGCCTAATTCACTAAGGAGCCACAGATGATGACTAAAAAATAATTAAGAGCAATCAAACTCAGGAAGAAACGCCAAACCTACATATCCTCTTGTTAAAACTGCTTTGCAAAATCAGGGACACGAGAGGGACTTTCTTGTTTTACCTCTGATGCATCAAGATTGTTCAGTCAGAGAAAGTTCAGCAGAGTTTTGCATTAACTATGACTACACTCTTACAAATTTGCCTAAACAATTCATTTACTGTTTTCTTAAGACACCAGGGACTTAGAACTTCCCTCGCCAGCTCAATCCTCAGCGTATTAAAGCTGTCTGACGTGCCTACGTGGTACTGAAATGATAGCTACAAACTGTACAACAGGGAAATGAACACAGCAAAGATGTCCAAGCACTTTTCAGCAAAGAAGTTTTCGGTCAAAAAATGTCAACTTGCCAAAGCAAAAAGCTATCATTACCAGATCATTTTTTATAACGCTCCTTTTGGCAAGAGAGCATCACATGTCAGTCTCCCTCTGGCCATCAGTTATGGACATGGAACAATGCCAAGAAATGAGATGGTCCCACAGCCAACCAAATAGCATACAGGAGCTCCAGGGACAAGTTTTTCAGCAGAACTTTGTGGCAAAGAGCCCGGGCACTGCCTTCATCCCCTCCACACCAAGCTGGCAGCCAGAGTTCTCCTCAGCTTCCTTCAGAAGCATCTCTCTGTGCTACAGCTGACCACAGACACACCTATGCACCATTTTAAAGAGAAGGGACTGGAGGGAAAAGCCAAGCTTGGTTCGTCTCAGCCTCCTTTTTTTCCCCGCAAGTAAACGTGAAGTAAATTTTGCAAGCAACAAAACCTGTCTTCCTTTACTTCAGCCATAGCAAACATTTTTTTCACACTTTCCAATATTTCAGTTTCTAAGTCACAAAAGAATCTCAGTAACACAACAAAAAACAACAAAAACAGAAAGCCACACGTCGGTATAACACTACAGATCCAAACTTGACTTTAAGCAGGACGAAGTTACTTTGTTTTCGTATTACAAAAATTCCCTTATAAAAATGAAATCTACACTCACTCGGCCACAGGAGAGTTGAAGATCTCATTAAGTTCATAAATCTGGAATGCTTGGACCAAAGGGAATCCAAGTATGAAAAACAAAATTATTGTGGCAGTATGTCCCAGCCAAATGCAATCAGCCTCTTACCAAGAAGGTCTGTGTGAGCATGTGCATTTCAAAGAGGAAAACGCCAGAAATCTAAGGGATGGGCAGATGTCTGCCATTAGAAAATAACTTTCCAGCTCTCCTTTCAGTCCTGCCAGCACACACACCACACCAGCTGCCCAGAGGAACCCTGCACCATGGCTGGCTTCATATTATATAGCAATCGTCCAGGTCAAGATACCATCGCTATTCCAGATGTTCATTTACATAGGCATCCATATTCATGAAACTTTTAAGAACAGAAGTGCATCAAAAGCCATCCCTTTACAATTCTCTATTGTGGACTATTTTTAAGAGATGGCACACAGGAGTACCAGCCAGAAGTGTTCTAATTAGTAGCGTTCCAAGGGTCCATAGAGTCACTTTCCTCCAGAAGTAGCATAGCTTCCACGCCTTTTTTCCAACAGGATGGCAACATTACACAGCAGCTGCTGATTCTGCATACACTTTTGCATACTGAGGCCAGCAGCACAATGTCTCTAACAGAGCATGCAAAACAATGGCTCCGGCCACAGCGAGAGTTTCTCCATGTCTGGCAGAAGTCACACAGGAGTGTTGTTTGCTTTCCCATTAAAGTTAAGGCCAAAGCCAAACATTCTACTCGAAACATTTGTTTTTACTGCACAACTGACAACACACTAAGTTAAATGAATGAAAAATACAGTTCTAGTAGTTAAGTCGCATTTACAATTTACATCCTGGAGACGCACATGGCCACAGAGTACACATAAAACAAACATACAAAACAAAACCACCCCACCAGGCTTTCCAAAAGCCAGATTTAACAGCCTGGCAAATTCAGTTAGCCAAGGGGAATGGCACAGCCCACACAGCTGCATTCATCACCCTTCTGACCCCATCTCCATTAGTGCAGTATCCCGCTTCTTAGTCTTGTCTGCCATGCACATCTTCCAAAATGCAATCTTCTGAGGGCCACGATGGTCACTTCTTAAATAAACGCACTATCTTAAGATCCGTGTCCGTATGTGTGCACATGAATATGTATACACACAATGACTGTACAGTTTTGCATCAGAAACGGTGCTGCCAGCAGGAACAGGGAAGTGATTGTCCCCCTGTACTCAGCTCTGGTGAGGCTGCACCTCGAGTGCTGTGTCCACTTTCGGGCCCCTCACTGCTAGAAAGGCATTGAGGCCCTGGAGCGGGTTCAAAGAAGGGCGACAAAGCTGGTGAGGGGTCTGGAGCACAGGCCTTATGAGGAGCGGCTGAGGGAGCTGGGATTGTTCAGTCTGGAGAAGAGGAGGCTCAGGGGAGACCTCATTCTCTCTATAAGTACCTGAAGAGAGGTTGTAGTGAGCTGGGGTCAGCTTCTTCTCTTGTGTAACTGGTGATAGGACTAGAGGGAATGGTTTCAAGCTGCACCAGGGGAGATTTAGGCTGGATGTTAGGAAATAGTGCTTTTCTGGAAGAATGGTCAGGTAGTGGAATGGGCTGCCCAGGGAGGTGGTGGAGTCACCGACCCTGGAGGTGTTCAAGGAACATTTGGATGTTGTGTTGAGGGACACGGTTTAGTGGGAACTATTGGTGATGGGTGGATGGTTGGACTGGATGATCTTGTAGGTCTTTTCCAACCTTGGTGTTTCTGTGATTCTGTGTATGCAAGGATTAATTTATATATATACAAACACATATTTAAAAGTTAATAATCGTTGTATTTAAATATATAAGGATAGTTTATTAAATTGAGTGCACATTCCCTCAAATCTTAGCTAAGGATAAAAGCACAGTTAGATATTATTCACAGGAAAACAAATAGAAGTTTCAGTTTTATACTGAGATCATTTAACGAAAATATGAGATCAATATCAGCTTGAGTTTGATGGGTCCATTATCAGTTAACCACAGAAACACACAAAGTACGAGAGTCAAATTCAGAGTCAGTACAGCTCTGAACTTTCACATGTGGAGCTAAGTTTCTCCTTCATGAATCTGTACTTTTAGGGATGGGAGCTACAGAGCTACAGCAGTTCAGAGACAAGAAGAGAGAGAAGGAAAAAATGTGCTTTCACCATCACAAGGTGGTGAAAAATAACGAGTAACATTTAATTCAGTAATTAAGCCTAAAAATGCCCAACTAGTTTTGTTATCTAAGAGATAAAGAAACATGACATTCTTTGCTCTTAGTCCCAGCATGCAGCAGTGGCAACACTACCATCCATTCCATAGTGCTGTACATCAAAACTGAGAAACAAGGGCTCGCCTGCAGCACTGTGCTGTCTGCACGGGATTCCCCTCACCTAACTCCAAACGCCTGCCATGCACAAGTGTTCGTCTGCCCTTGGCCCACAGGGAGAAGCAGGCACTCATGGCACACAACTTGTGTGGATACCTGCTTTAGGATTACACCAGTTTTACCTAAATTGCATGTACTTCCTCCAGGGATTACCTGAAGAGCCTGGCCATCTCACTCACACATCAGCTCATATGTCTGTGTGTTTCCATCACAGTGCATGCCAGCATGAGCAGACAGGCTCCCACTCTGACCAACACCATAACCTTACTCGTACAGAAAACATCTCATGGAATGCAGTACCTGTAAGATGAATGACTCATTGATCTTTCTAAGCAAAGTCAACCAGCACTTCTGCAGCATCACCACAATCCTCTTCATTCATAAAACTCAAGATGAAGCTCAAATGTTGGTTAATCACTTCAACTTTCCCGACAACTGAGTAAGGATGAATTGTTTTGGGCCATGTATAAAACACACAATATAGCTAACGTATGTCATAAAACCTTTTTGTTTTTCGTATTTTTATTGAAACACTAAAGAAAGGGCAACAGAAACAGGTTGGCCATTCGTGGCATACAGCTCCTTGCTGCTGTTTGCCCCTGCCTTGCAAAGCACTGTCCGTGCCCTCGAGCCCACCGCCCATCCATGCACCACAGGCTGAGTAATTCTGCTCCAGACATTGACACACAGGCTACTGGAAGTCCACACAGTCAGGAAATTCCTATCCTTTCTCTGAGGTAAGAAGCAAAGGAAAGCCCTCAGGAAAGTCTGAATAACAGTTTTAAGAAAGAAAAAAAAAATAAACAAAGAGTTATTTTCAAAGCGTTCTGTTATTACATCACATTATTATAACCCAGATGAGCTCATTTCCATTACTAAAGCAGGTTCTGAATCTTGTTTTTCAGCCCGGAGAGATGAAGTTATATCACTGAGGGATAGGAAGCACAGAGGCAAAGTTCATTGCCTCATAGCATGATAGTCAATGCTGCCGTGGGCCAGGAAAGTAGAGAAAATTCCTTCCAGGGATGACAAGGAGCTCTTATTTATAAAGAAGAGAACAAAATAACAGCAGGCCAGCCCATAAACACAGTCTAAAAGCATGTCCGGTGATCAGCCCCCCAGTCTCTGCCTGGAAGCTTAAACACCAGTGTAACCAGAATTGTAGGAAAACACGCTTTGTCACTCTTCAGAATAACCATGGGAAACGTGGGCTTTCCCATCAGCACAAAGCGAGTGCTTAGACACAGCTTTGTTTCTATTCCCTCAAGGTCACCTCTGTTCTTCAGACACCGTCCCAAAGGATGAGAAGACCAATCCACCATGTTTTGTACCAGGTAGGAAATAAACATGAACACACGCTCCCATCTCAGCCCCAGTCCATGCTAAGGGTCAGTGCCTGGCAGCAAGTCACCACAGCCAAGAGGCAGCGGTGGACTTTGGCTCTGTGTGGGCTCGGAGCAAGCTGAGTACCTGCTGTATTGTGTGGACAGCTTTCCTATGCCTGCCTGGACACGTGCAGGATAGGATGTGCATCCTCCTCTGGCTGCTACACGAGCCTGCCCCCGATGCTCTCCAGCTCATGCTAGGCAGTGACCTGCTCTCAGCATGAGCTCAGTTCCTGATCACCAAGGGCCCCGTAGCAAAGACCATCTCCAGCTGGCTCACACACAGTGACACTGCTTCCACAGCCGCACACCAACTGGTGCCTTCACACACAGCCATCTCCGCTATCCCCGAGGTGTGTGCCTGGCAGGCATGGCCATGCAGGACTGGCTCCGCGAGGGAGCAGCAGGGCTCAGGGCCCGGGCTGCAGGCAGAGCTCAGGACCGGCGCAGCGCTCCGGACTGACATGTCCTAAGGCAAACAGCTGGGCTGCAGAACCTCGGTGTGGCAGTTTCAGGGCAGTGGGTAAAGCTGCATACAGCACTGAGAAAATACAGGAGGGGCATCTTAGGATAACTGTGCTAAGAAAAAAAAAAGTTCAGAAGCGAAGTATGCAGTCTCAATGAAGCAATAACATCGGAATTCTTTCCCCTTTTGTCTGTTTCAACAGGCAGCAGGCAGCACCGCCGCCAGGAGATGGAGTGGCGCGATTCAGGTGTGAGTGAGCGTTTCCACGTCTCTCCTGCTACGTGTCTTCAAACACGACCGCGGCAAGACGGCGGTACACGGACACGGCAAATGAGCGCCTCACGCCGCGCACACACACACACACACCCCACACGCAGCCGTTCCCTAACGGACGGATGAGCCGAGCGCACGGCCCCGGGCCGGCCGCAGGGGGTGGGGCGGCACAGCACGCAGGCGGCGACGCCTCCGTGCAGCGGGCGCGCTGCTCGCGGGCAGCTCGCATCTCCGTGCCGCCCGCACCTCCGCGCAGCGGGCGCGCTACTCGCCGTCAGCGCGGCAGCGCTCGGTGCAGCCTTCGCCGCGGGCAGCGCCGGGACAGCTGCGCGCCCACCCCGCGCCCCGGGGCCGCGTGAGCAACGAGCGTGACGCAGCTCCCGCTCTCCCTCCTCCCACGTGCGTGCGCACAGCCCCGCGGGGTCCCCCACCTCCGCTCCGCTCCGCCGCGCCAACGCGCTCCGCGCTCCGGGCGGAGGTCGCCCCGCTCGGCTCCGCGCCGCCCCCCGAGGCTTCAGATCCCGGGAGGGATCTCCTCCCCGGCGATTCACAGCGGCCCGAGCCCCGCGCTCCCCCTCGCCCGGCCCGAGGCGCTTACGGCTGCGCGAGGTCCCTCACGTTCGGCAGTCCCCGCCGGTCCGGGTGCCGTCGCGCTCCGCGTTGCGGGCATTCGGCACTTCGCAGCCGCGCGGCGGGGGAGGCGCCTGCCGTCAGCTGACCGCCGCTCTTAAGGAGGCGAGCCGAGCGCCGGGGCTGCGCGACGCGCGGAGTCGCGGCCTGCGGGAGCTTGGGCGCGTTGGAGCCGCGCGGACCGCCCGCACCGCCCGCCGGCGATGGCACCCGGGCTGCGGTCGGGCTCGCGTGGCTCCGTGCCAGGCTGCGTCCTGCCGGCTGCGTGGCGGGGCGCCCTGAAATCCCCGGGCTCCGTCTCTGCTGTGGAGCCCGGGTTTCACTGCCGCCAGCCCGAAACTCACGAGGACGAGGCGGCTCGCGCGCACGTAGAGTCCCTCCTCTTGATGCACGGCTCAGACTGCAGCTCCTCACGCTTCAGTACCGTTAAAAATTTGACTCTGAAATACACCCCGGTCGTGCCTTATCCAAACTACACCTCATCTGGCGCAGATCAAGCCCAGATCTCTACATTTTGGGTGTGTGCAATGGTCTTTCCTGGTGGAAGGAGAGGAAGAGCTTCGTGGAAGCAGCTGGCTGCTTTGGGCTGGTATTAATGGCAACGCACTGGTTTTCATTAATTCTATCACCTCTGCAAAGATCTAAAATGTCTTTAAGTTCCTCCTCCGCATTTGTTCTGTTTTTCTTTAAAGGATTTCAAAATGATGTATTATGAAGCATATTAACATACGTTTGTAAACAAGTATTTGCTGCATCATTATCATGAGATTAAAAAAAAAAAGTCCCACTTGGGTTTGTGGACTCCATCGTGGGGCAGCAGGAGAACCTGCCGGGCTTCAGCTGCCGCTCACCCAGCCCTGGCCTCAGCGTACCCCATAAAGCTTGTTCTTCCTTAGGGGCCAAAAAACGAGAGTAGATTAAGGAAAAAACCGCCTTGAAAGTGCAGAACACCAAAGGGTAGGCTTCCACAAGTGAGAGGTAAGTAGGCAGCATTCAGATCCTATTAACAAGGTTCCTAGAAGTGTGGTAAGCTGGTAGCCACAATTAGGGGAGAATGAGCCACTCCTCCCTGCAAAGCAATGCCAGGCAGAAACCTCATTTTCTCCATAATTTTAGTAGTCTTCTGCTATGATGCACTGCAAGAGCTGAGCAACTCTGACCATTACTTTTAACTTCGTTTTCTGTCTCATCTTGTAAGGAAAAAAAAAGGCATGGTAGGAAAGTGCTGTCCTGTGGGCACTGTCACAAAAAAGGGCAAGGTTGTGTTTGGAAAGCAGCCTCTGGACTGCCAGCTCAGAAAGCACTTATTTGATGTGGACAGCCTCTTCAGCCATTTCTTCATTGTGCATATTTGAGGGAACATTAACCAGAAAAAGGCAGCAAACCCACTATGGTGTCATTATGTGGGTACTTCTGACTCCCGAGTCAACTGCTCTCCACTCAGTCTTTTGATAGGAAAGGACACTTCAGAATATGTCAGTAGAGCTCAGTAACAGTTTTAAGACATGTAGAAATGACAGATGGCATGAATATGATTGCTCTTAGGAAACCTGTTACTTTCTTCCCTGCTGGCAAAGCTGAGGGTATGACCAGCTTTCCTCTTATCTACTTGCCCAAATTTTATTTTGAATTGCTGAAGAAACGTACCACATCCTGCAGAGTGTTGGAGAGGCAGCGTTCCCAGAAGCTGAGCCATCATCTCAGAGGTCACCATCTGCACCCATCACGTTGGGCATGAGCCTGCAGCGTTGTTTCCAAGGACTTGACTTGCTCCCCAACATCTCCACCCTGGCATGGTTTCGCTCTGCTTATACACAAGGTTCTGAAGCCACACGCTGCCCACAGGCTTCATTACCTGTCCCACAGCTGTGCCAAGCTCACATTTCATCTCCAATCTTGCATTTTAAATATATGCAAAATGTTATTGTCAGGGTATGGTTCTGGATATCAACAACAAATGGGGAATTCCAGTATTTCCATTGAAAATCCCCCATTTAGTTCTCAGTAGCAACACTGATTTTTCCCTGCCCAAGGAAGCAACACAGACTCTTGATAAGGAGCTGACTAATGAGGGGAGAAAAAATTCCTCTGCTTCTTCTGAGACAAGAAATGAAAAGCTTTCATTTACATTTTGACTGTTCCTGTTATTTCTCATAATATTATGAAAGTTATTTTTCGTCTTCATCCCATTTCTTCAAGAAAATTATGGGTAGTTTGTCATTTTTTTTTTCCTGTGACCAAACCAACTGAGCAGATGCCCTCCCTGCTCCCTTGCTCTACCCCCTACATGGTAGCCCATTACTCACCCCGCTACGTCCTTGTAATCTTTTGTGGGTGCCTGGCCAAACAATGTCTGAATTAACTGGGTTAGGAAACCTCCTTCCACTCTCTTTCATGTGAAGAGTATTGTTGGTTTTTATTTTGTTGTTTCAGACTACTTCAGCCCACTAACAACTACCTGCTGATGCTGCCATTCATTCTAGGACGCCCCACAAGGTCCTGCCCTCCCCGGCCTGACTCGTCTCTGTCTCTGGGAGGAGGGAGGTGTTTGGCCAAAGCCTTCAGACCCAGAGCCACCTTCTCGGCTTCTCCCTATGACGGTGGCAAATCAGCCGTTGGCGTGGCCAGCAGTGGAAACAAGCCATGAGCTGCAGTGAGGCAATTAGAGGGTGTGGGAATGGCATTGTGAAGTACCAAGCAGACAAAGGTCTTTTCTGAAGCAGACTTGTAAGGGAAGCTATGACAAATTACAGAGGGCATTTTAAGTGTGCTGCTCTTGAGCGTCAAGGCTCAGACAAAACTGTAGGCAAAACCACCGAAAAGCAAGACTGGTCATATCAGGACAAACAATCATCTAAGGAAACAAAAAGGGATATTTTGTCAGATGCTTAACACAAACCTGGAATTTTCTTTTAGTCACAAACACCTCACAGTGCATCAGAAAAAAAAAGAAAAAAAAAATCACTCTTTGGTTAGGTCTACAAACTCCAGCTATTGAAGGACTACCTTCAGTTCCACCTGCCCAGGACCTCTGCGACAAACGCTTGCCCATGCAGAGACAAAATGTGTCTTTTCTGAGGTAAAAATAGTTTCATCCATTATATAGAACACCAAAGGGGAGGGGAGGGGGAAATGTAACTCTTGGTTTTAAGATTGCCTGTAATGATAAATAGCCATTTGCTTATCAGTTGCACAATCTGAAGAGCTGGGTCCCTGGCTGAAGCTGAATTCACAGCTAAAAGCTGCCATCTCAGTGCCTCTTATCAAAGACATTCTGCAGAATACATGCACTCCAGGTTTCCAGTTGGCTCCTCTGAGGCAATTTATCAGACACATCATCACAGTGTAAAACTGAAATTTCTTCATTGCTCTGCACTCAGTCCCCCATATCCACACGCAAACATTCCTCCCCAACACTTAAAAAATAACTAATCATTCTGGCAGACTTTCCACTGCGAATGAGGAAAATTTGCACTCAAAGTGAATTCTGCTCAGGTGCCCGGTGCTTTGGCAGAGCCCTGCTTTCTGTCCCTTCTTCCACCTACATGGTGGTTTGCTCAGGCTGTGGCCGAGTCACCCATGGCAGTTAGGAAAACAAACACGAAGGGCTGAAATAACAGCAGGTCTTAGACACAATGCTGCAATCCCGAAATATCTTCTGAGAGCTTGAAGTTACAGCATGTTGGGTGAAACCTTCATATTTAGGAAGAAGTTAGTCTCTGTAATTGTCTGCTGTTATATCTGTAATGTCTGACCTCAGAAAATGGTAGGATTGCAGGATAACTCAGGCTGGAAAGAGATCTCAGGAGGATTCTGGTCCAAGCAGCTCAAAGCTGGGGAAGCTCTGTTATTCAGGCCAGGCTTCCCAGTGCTTGATCAAGTCAGGACTTGGAAACCTCCAAGGATGGAGGCAGCATAGCATCTCAGGCCCCCCCCTGCTGCTGCCAGCCTGCCCACGAGGGGAACTAGTTTCTCCAAATATCCACTCCGTACTGGGCTCAGGCCCATTGTCTGAGGTTTTCACGCCACACATCAGCTGTGTGAAGGGACTGGCTCTCTCTTTGATCCCCTCCCTGCACACACAGCTGCTGTGCTTCACTTACACCCTGAGCTGCAGAACAGCCACATCTGCCACAAAGTGACATGGCACTTGGATTTCCTGCAAATTAGTGCAAAGCTGCCAAATAAAGCAGCTAAAGAATAAACAATTAAAGATGGATGTATAAACAATATTTTTATTAATATGGGACACTGGGATGTTTCATCAAGACAAACCAGCTCATTCCTGGCAGAAGGACACAGGATTGGGTGCTTGGAGAGGGAGTCGAGTGAATGAGAGCATGAGAAGAACAGCGGACAGACAGTATTTCTACTTTACTTTGAGGAATAATGAAGAGTGGTTTTGGTAACAAGAAAATCAAGTGTGCAAGTTATTAGAAATAGTAAAGAAGCGGAAATTAAAATAGAGCAGAATGGTACATACGCATGAGGTGCCTGCAGAGTTTGTCTTGTCTGTGGCAGAGCCCTGCACAGCAGCACTTGCAAAGGCTGCAGAAGAGAAAATCCCTTTGGGGAGAAACCACGTCTCTCAATGGCTGTTGCACCCTTCACTTTGGCACTTACAAACCCTGATCCTTCTTCTTTAGTTCTCATATGAACTGGCAGATTTCAACAAGCAGACAGTGCACAAATCCTAGCAAGCAGAACTCTTCTTGCTAAACAGCCAACTGGACTTGACAGCAACTTTAGCATCATTTCCATCAGTACCACCTCTAATTTGATGCCAAGAGCAACGAACTTGTGCTAGCATTACGCTCATCAGAACAGAACTGTGCTTCCTTGCTGGCTACCTCTTCTCTCCCTGCTCACATATCACGACTACATCTTATTCAATGAATGGAAAATTCTTCCCTGCTGCCTCTCCCCATGCAGAAATATCTTTGTGCACATCCCAAAACAAGCTCCCTGTGAAGAAGATGGTGCGAAACCTGTACAAAAACTTGCAGTAAATACTCCAGATAGCTCTGGTTCTGAATGAGACTTCTCAATGCATTTTTATTCCACTGTGTGTATATCTGATAGAGTGGAACAGTACCACCACCTGAAATGGCACCGAGGCTTTAAGAACTTCTGTTAAGGTCCAGTTTTAAATAAGCAGAAGCAGGAGGTGATGGAAGCTTTGCTAATCAGGACACCTCGTAAGCCCTGCTGAAGGCCCATTGACGTCAAGGAAACGTAAGCATATGCGTTGCTTTAATTGTATGCTTAAAGGCTGCTCTGAAATGGGTCATAGATGGCCAACTTCTGCGTTCATTAAAAATCTTACGGGGTCGTGCGTCTCCCCCAGGGGAACTAACTCTTGTATTCATGCAGAAGTTTATTCTACATTCTGTATGTGCAAACCATCTCAAGCCTAACCAGAAGAAATTTCTAAAGCTTGAATAACAATTCTCAGACATGACATTAAAACACTGTTTTTCTTATAATAAACTGTTAAAAACAAAACATTACTACTGTTAATGATTAACTTGCTAAGTCTTTGGTTTTAAGCTTTCCCTTAGGCTGCAAGCTACTCTTTCAGGCCATTAATTGTTTCAAACAACCAATTTCCTCAGTATATTTCCTTAGAATGTATTTTAATACCACCATCAGGTCAAGGTCACCGAACAAATTTGCCGGCCATTAGCCACTACTCCATTCTGCATCTTCCCAGTTTTGTTCTCAAACTTTCTGTTTTCTCTTCTGTTGGCCCATTAGGAATAAAATGCATTGCTACAGACCTGGAATATTATAATTTCTGAAATGACTCCCCAGTTAGTTGGTGCCATTGCAGATGTCTCTTGCTCTGACTGCTCTGGATGGGCATGCATCCCCTCTGGTCTCTTCACATTAGAGCATCTTACTGGATTCTTGCTACCAGTCACTTGAGAAAAGTCAATTAAGGTGTGTGTTGCTAACTAAAAGCCCACTGTCATTTGTATGGAATGCATGTTCTCAGCAGGACTGAGTGAATTCTCAGTCACTGAGATCAATCGTTCAAACATGCTGGGCCTGGAATGGCTCTTATAGATGGAGCCAGCACTGCGGGAAGCTGTCCTCCTGAAATCCACTACAGCACAGCAGTGGCAGGACCAGCCGGCCATGGCTATGCAGAGGAGAGAACAAGACATTGCTCCTCTTCTCCCTCTTCTGCCCTTCATTT